CTGGAGAATTCTGGGAGTTGAAGTCCACACATCTTAAAGTTGCTGAGATTGAGAAACCCTGGCTTTAGCTGTCTGGTTTGAGAGAAGTTGTCTATACTGTCTGCTGAGGAATTTGCTGTGTGTAGTCCACCATTCTGTCTAATTACTGTGGGACATCCTGGGTTAAAGTTAAGAGAGCCAACATCTGCTAAAATAGCATACACTTCAGATCTTCCTGGTTCATGAATTTGTTAATCTGCATATAGAAGTATTATAGTTTATATGTGGAGCCATCATGTCTCCACAAGATTTGGTATGCAACTTGTATATAACTAATCGCTAGAAGAAAGGAATCAGTTCTATAACCTAATGTTGTGAGGTCAACCCTATACAGTAGCTACCAGATCTGGGCCACAAAACTCAGAACAACCATTAGAAATACATAAGATCTAAGTCTTTGCTACCATGTGATACCAAATTCATCTGGACTTCTTGCAGCTAGATCTTGTAGCCCTAGCTAAAGCAGATGTGACATTGGGAGATTTCCCTCCCTCCCTATTAGGACGGAACTATGAAAAAGGAGAAAGGAATCCAGCCGGGACCATAGAACCAGTTTTCCTACTCCTAAATAATTTGGAAATTGTTTTCCTAATTTCAGTCACACAGGAGAAAATATTGAGAAATCTGCATTTTTTCTCTCCAGCAGAGAAATATAAACACAAGTGCTTTGAGAACTGCTTTGAGAAAACTCTAAAAATGATCTTTAATCTTTATTCCCTTAATACTTCCATTCCCATAATGGCCCCTGCAATCACTTTACTTTAGGAAAATGGGGAGTCCAATCACAGTTCTTCGGACCAAACAGACTTTATATAGCATAAAACCAAGCAAAATGCCATATATATTGCAGAGGAAAGAAAAATCAGCACTTACTCTTTATGCTGGCACCATAATCTGTTGACGATAAAGGCAATCATTGCCAGAACCAAAAAGACTATAACAGCAATGACACCTTGTAGCCATGGCTGAAACTCCCTGTCAACTGTGAAGAAAAGGTGTTAAAACAAGATTATTGTAGGTACTTATTTTATTAGGCTAGAAGTTACAGTATGATGCATAATTATTTCCATGCACACAAACCTATATTTATTAAGTGCTAAGATTCCTGGTTGTTAAATTGAAGTAATGGTAGCTAAATAGCTATATACATTTAGATTACAAAATCTAGGCCTTCTGTCATAGACATTCACTCTTTTTGTTATTTCACAACTAAATAAATCTGGAATATTGCACCCATACGCACTCACAAATAGGCAAGAAGAACAGTCATGAATAATGCCATAGCAATCAAAAATGGCTATATTTCATAGTGCTTATTGTGATAAAGTGCTAACTGGGAATTAATTGTTTTGAGTCAAGAACTTTTCTCCATCAATTTTACATCAGAATGTGAATCTATCCAAGTTGTAAAGATCAGCTATATCACAAATCAACGGCTATTTCCCTCAACATTCTTCTGATTCCGAATGTAAATTATATTAATTTGTTCATTTGTTTAATTGATTTATATAGCTGCTCACTCAGCACAGGACTCAGAGATTCTGCACATACAGGGTCAGCATGTAGTGACAAGTATAGGTGTGTGGAGAGAGGAAGGGAGAAAACTCCCTTGAGTGTACATGGACACGTCCATGTTGTCTAGCCAAATCTATTCCAACCCTATACAAGCAATTATACGTAAACCTCTTTCAATACAATCAAAGACACATTTTCTTTGATAGATTCAGAGAAAGATGATTTATTAAATACTTGGGAAGACATTTCTTCTCAATCCACTGAGACATTCCAGTAGTTTATATCATATCTGAAGCTGGCCACACCAACTGGGACTACCATATATCCACTGCAAAAACCCAGACAACCACTAGATAGCAGGAAAGAGATTCAGAAAATTCTAACCTTCTGCTGCCATCTGCTGGTCATCCAGATTCTTTCAGCTCAGATGTTATAACCCTAGCAACAATGTCAAAAACCTATAAAATAGCCATTCTTCCAGTTGTCTTTGTGCAAAGCCCTAGCTAAACCAATAAAGAAATGGGAGGCAGGAAAGTAATCTCTTCAGTTTCCTGTCAGAAACAACTGTTTTATTACGGATGGCATATTGAAACCTATCCAGCAAATTTTGACAAACCTTCTCTTTCCAAAAAAAATGGTAGACTATTTTGCAACATTATGACTAATTGCCCCAGCCCAGTTGTGTTTTGCTGCCCTCTCAACAATCTCTTTCTTGGGAAAATGCCCAACTTTTGCCTCACCCTGAAATTAAACTAAATCTGTCTTCCCCAATACTGCAAACTCAAAATAATTAGGCAGTTCCAAAAGAGGTTGTGATATTTTGGAAAACAGACCTGTTTTACCAAAAGCGACACTAATGCTCTCAGTCTTTATTTTTGTCTTCTCTGAAACAAAACGATACACACCTTTTTCAAAAAAAGTAATTTCAGTGTCTTGAAGTGCAGTATTTTTTCAGTATTTTTCTTTTTCAGTATTGCTGAAAGTGGGTGGGAGGGTAGATATACATATGCTTCCTGCTCCTCTTCAATTTAGAAGCCTCTATGACTAGGTTCCCATTTTGTGTAAAGCCCTAACTAAGGCTTCTAAAATCTAAACTTTTTTGCATTCTAGCATTCTGGAGGTGTTTTTTATAGCTTTTAAATATATTTACTTGATTAAGCACTCAGACTTTCTAAACTTTGGATACTGAGCAATTCACTCAGGCTCTCTTCAGAACTTTGGTTGAATCTTTGAGGATCTAAAGCAGGATCAGCTTTGTCAACATGTAGTTTTGAGAAAAGTTGAAGAAGAAAAGTGCAAACTAGTAACTCCTTTCTACTATCAGTAATGTCTCTTTTTTTGTAATCCTCAGTAACCCTGAAACTTTGGTGGAATTCTAAAAGCAAATAAAAGCTCTAAGTTAATACAAGAGCAGATTGTTCTGTCTTAGTTAATGCTGGACTAGAATAACCTATGGAAAACAGTCCAAAGTTCTGTCCTGCCATTTTGCATCTTGCCTTTATTTTAAAAATTAGAACTCTCTTTTATTTTTTTTATTTTTTTTTAGATCGTTAAAAAAAGAGGGGGTAGACTTTAGTTCAATTTGACGAGATCCAATTCAGCAAAGGCAAGAACTAGAAGTGAAAGCGATGGAAGAGCCAGGTACTAAAAAGGTCAGTACTTAATGTACCATCAGTAATTATTCAGATAAGTGGATTTTCAGCTGAAGGAGGTTTTTTTCTTCATGCTTATGGCTCTGAAAAGTCATCCTTGTGCACAACTAGAAAAGAAAAGGAGCTCTGTGACCTTGAATCTAGTCACCATGTGTAAAATTATAAAACAAATTGAAAAACCATTTACTTTATTCCCCATCATTCGTTCTGCATCCAAACTCAACTAGTTCTAACAGATTATTCATTAACATCCAGGTAATGTACAACAGGCAAAGAACAGATACGGAAAAGGTGTACCATATTAGGGGCATTTGGAGAACAAAAATATTTGTTTTAATAAAATGTACCCGAAAGGAAGTAGGAGATAGGTTTTGCCAATTTGTGATAAGGTTACTCTTACGCCTTCAAGAGCTACAAGATAGGCACAAGAACGAAATTTTGCTCAGCACAGTGATCCAATAATAAAGTTTCATCTGCTGCATTTATTTATCTTCTGCAGTTGTTTGTAGCACTGAAGCTTTGTTTAATAATAATGGACAACTCTGAAATATATTGATAGATGTTGCAATGTACCAATGTCCATTGTTGAAAAAGTGGCATTCGGTGGCCAAATCTGACATCATGATGAATGTGTTAAACACCATAAAATGGGTTGTTTCTTTTACAAGAAACAGCTACTGGAAGTGAAGAGGAAAAGAAATATAATTGCAGAAGTAAGAAGGGAGAACGCTTTCTTCCTGCAAGAGTCCTACCAAAACCTCTTTCCTTGAACACAAGTTTATTAAGGCTACAATGTCTAGGATGCAAATAGCTGGACCATGCAGCAAAGAGATACAGAAACCTCTTAACTATTGTCTGTCCTCCCAGGAGCATCTGGGGATCTGCAGACCAGCTATGATGGTCCTAGCATTTAAATCGGAGAGCTAAAATGGTCAGATACCCAGAAGAAGAAAAAAAAGTATCCATCGTAAACAGGGATGAGGAAGAAATAATTTGACTCAATTGATACTTGCTGAAACCCTCTCTTCTACCAAAATATTAAAGCTGCATAAACCTTGGCCTCTTTTTCAGAGAGCCTTTGGAGAGAATAGGGTACAATTTGAGGGCAGACCATGATGTAGAGGGAAGGATTAAAAGAAACCTCAAAACTTGCTGTGGTTCTGATCTTACTAAGGCTGTTCTTTCTACAGGAAATAACCCCACACCCATTAAACCTGCGGCCATATTTCAACTTGTTCCCATATTTAATACCATGTCTGTTGAAAGCCCACAGGCAATCAGAGGGGTGAAAAAATGTTCCACAAAAGTACAATAGCTGAAATCAATGGTTAGATTCATATGTTACGCTTGGGGTTTGTTAATTTATTTATTTAGAGCAGGTTATGTGAAGCCCTCCATGAGTTTGTGGGACCATAGTTTACAGTTTAGCATGAGTTGTAATCAGTTGTGATTTATTTGTAGTTAAACCAAGCTATACTTTAGCACAAGGAGTGACCCTAGTTAACTTCTTTAACTTGTCCTGAAATTGAATCAATGCTCCGCTTAGTGAATAATCTATCAGAAGTGAATAATCTACTGGGCATATATAGTGAATTTTCATTATGGTTTTTCAGAATTAACAATCTTAATAAAGACAGAGCAATAACAAGAAAAGAGCAATAACAGTGTACAATAGGGCTGACTTTCCCCTTGCTACAACATATAATGATATCTGGACAATGCTGTAACTGGGCTGCAAAAGTCCAGAAGAAAATTACATGGGAGCAAAGAAAAAGACTTTTCTGTATCTGTTTGCTGCCATCTCATGGTCATCTGGATTTTTGTAGCCAAAATATGGTAGCTGTAAGATAATGAACAAGAACATTCTGCTGCCTCCATATCAAAGGGATCAATCAATATCTAGGGTAATGCAAACAACCCCAATGCAATTTACCTATTACATTGCTTTGAATTAAGATACCACACATCAAATAACAGAGCAGAGTTAGTAAAAAAGAAAAGAAAAACTCATATGTACTGATGAACATAAGGTTTCGCAACACTCAGAACATAGGACTACTGTATCTAATTATTAAGACTGCAGTCCTGTACTCCCTTAGGCAGGAATTTCACTGAACCCACTGGGATCGACTTCTGAGTAAATATGTATAGGATTACAGATCCATTCTGAAACATTCCTAGAGTCAGGCTACTTAGATTTTTCCAAAATGCCGAGTTACCTTTTTACATTCAACTCCTGGTTAAAGAGTTACACATTACCATATAGGTTCAAAAGTGAATGCACCAATAATGAGGATGAAGAAAATATTCTGGGGAATCTGTTGATGACCAAGTTAGCAAATGGCATGGTGGAAAGTGAACCTATAGAATGTGATGCAAATCATATTTATATGAAGTTGTACATTTTGTAGGAATGTATCATTTAATGCAACCATATTTCAAACTGAAAGGACAAGTGCAAGAGAGATGGTACAAAAGAGATGAAGCATTCCAGTAAGATAAAATTAAATAAGTTGTAGAAAAATTTGTTCTGGATTTGCAAAAGAAGGACTCATCCATACATATGTACCCATCATTATATTCCTTTTTGAGCAAGCTATGTTATGCAAAGAGCATAAATGGGCTAAGCAGTAGTAAATAAACAAAATTAAAAGCTGTCATCTGATTTTCCAGTAAGTTTGACTTAATGTATTGTTTCTTATGAGTCCATACGTGTAGAACAGGTTACTACATGTTGAGTTTTGGCTATAACATTAGACCCAGCTTCCTGGGATGAAACCCTAATAAACCTCAAGGGACTTATTTAGAGTTTATTTGCATATACAATTGAGCTGCCAGACCAGAGTCTTAACAACACTTATTAGGAGATAAATCCTATTAATTTTATTTTTGAGTAAATATGCATAAGATTATGCTTTAAGAATCAAATTGCTTTTCTTTTTCTCCAGTAAGCTTAAAAAATGATTTTTCACTTTCTAGGTGCTAGCAGAAACTTCTATTAGTTTTCAGCTTTATTTTTGCATTAATGAGGACATTTGTTTTTAATAAATGAAAACCCAGTAATATAAATAAAAACTTCATACAGGTCTTGAAATGAGAACGTATATGACCTACTTTATTCACTGAGCTAAGGTATAAGATGGTATTGATATATTTTCAGCTTTGGCTTACCATGTTGTGCGAATTCATCTATTCTGGTTTGTAACCTGTGGTTTCTGGCTTAGTATGGAATGGGAATTCAGTTACTGTCTTATATTCACTTTCATGAAAGTTCATAACTAACATTAACGTTAGCAACTTTTGAAAAAAGAGAAGTATCAAATTGTCTGATGCTGTCAGTTATAGGCTCCACAAGTTGCCTTTTGTAGCCAATTGCCGAACATGAGGTTGATGGAATGCACCCATTCATGTATGATATGCAGCATTTTATACAGAAGGTATATAGACGTTTACATGGGTGGTGAAGTGCCAAAGAAGACAGGACTCTTTCACTCAGCTGTTAAAGGTGCAGGAGCCCTTCTTGTTTAGTACAGTATCTGGCTATTATATGTTTAAAGTATAAAAAATAAAGATGCCCTTGAGTCAAGCATAACTGCTGGTGACTACTGTGCATGGATACAACCATACAGCTTTCTTGGAAAAAGTGCACAAATGGCTTAGACATTGCCTTCTTCTGTTATGTTTTGTAACTTCCCAGTCTAGTCTACAGAACTAGACCATAAAGATGACATCAGAACTTCTGGTTTTTCAAGTATCATTAGAAAGACTTACAGAAGCTCCTGCATAGGAAGTAGGCAGATTAAGGTATACTCAAGAAATTATTTAGAATGCCTTCTAGATAAGTTTTTTTTTTAATCTTGCTTGATGAAGCAATCTTGAAATCACGCTCATTTTTGTGAACTTTGAACTGACTTAATAAACATCTCGCCCTAATACAGATCTAGGAAACCAGATAAACAAACTTAAGTTAGCCTTTCCCATGTCCTCCAAATGAGTTGTTTATGTTTTCCAGAAAGGGGGCACTACTTCAGAACAAAGTTCAAACAGCCACTCCTGTTTTCTTCAAGTCTAGAAGCTCTTTGGGAAATAAAGATGACAAGTATGGATGTTTGAGACTGGCTCTTCCATTCAGCCAGAAGTTTTAAAATAAAGAAAAAGGAAGGACACTGCAGAGCCTATCATTGTCCCTCCCTCAGCCTGCCCATCTAGAAGGATGAAGATGCCCAGCCCCAGGGTCTCATGAGTCCCCCATAAGCTTTGAGTGCAGTCTTCCAAAGTTACTACCAAGTGTTAATTTTTAATGGAACAGAAGGGAAAACTCATTTAAGTGCTGGGCTGAAAGGCAGTTATATTAACTATATTTAACTTGAATGAAATGAGAATGAAATCAAATTCAGTTTTGATTCTGACTTTACCCACTATTTCTGAAAGGAGGCCCAAAAGGCAAAGTGGAGCATTCAGACCAGAAGTTGTACATGCCTGCTGTAAAATGCAGTGGGTAAAAAAGGAATACTTACATTTAAAAAACAGAAAAACAGGCTTTTCATTCCCTCCCACTGCCTCCTTTTACCAAGCTGACTGGGAAAAAAGACCCAGTGGCTTCTTTCTGAAGATGACCAATTGAGTGAAAAGTGTAAAAACTGATTCAGGATGAAGGACCTGTACTTTCCTTTGCTGGTAGGTGCGGCGGGAGGTGTGTCCCATTTCCTCTCCCTTTTTTATGTATATATACAGTGGTACCTCGGGATACGTACACCTCTACTAACGAACTTTTCGGGTTACGACCAGCTCCGGCCGCACAATTTACCTCGATGTGCGA